GGTCAGAGGGAGAAGCAGGCTCCCTGCCGAGCAGGGAGCCCGATGCGGGACTCAATCCAGGGACTCCAGGATCATGACCTGAGCCAAAAGCAGTCGCTTAACCAACTGAGCCACCCAGGCGCCCGGCCTCATGCTCTCTTATCTCAAAGACAGCATAAGACAAGGAGACAGGAGACCTGGCTTCAACTTTTAGTCCACACTGTGATTGTGGGCAAGCTACTACACTGCTGTAGGCCTCAGTTTCTTTAGCTGAAAAATGCGGCGAAAATGGCCTATGGGGTAACTGTGGCTGGTGAGTCAGGACACCCAGTGCACAACAGGAGCACAACACAGCACAGTTTCACAGGCTGGAATAGGCTCCTTCCTCTATAGAGGGCCAACCGGCTCCTCAACCTCCAGACCTCCGGCTGCACAGTGAAGGTGCCCAGCATCTCTGGTGAAGATGAAACGGGCTCTTGGTCTTCAACCCTACTGTTCAGTTGGACACAATCAACTGGTCCTGTGTGACCATGAAACCAGCCCCCCCCACCCGCTATGGCCATGTTGCGAACCTCGGAGCCCCAGGAAAGCTGGCTGCACCCCTGGGTGCCTCCAATCCCTCCCGCTGTGAGCCATGAAGGTGAGGGCTTTGTAACTGTGACCGTGACAGTCCCCACACATGGCAGGAACAGGCCTTTTTTGGGATGGTGCTCAGAAGCCTGCAGTAAGGTGGATGGGGGCAGGTAAAAGGTCCTGTGAAGGCCCGTACACTGCCCACCGAGGGCCATGTATGCGGGGACTTCATGTACGTCATGCCACAATATCTGCAAACACTGCCGGCGGGGCTGGTGTGAGGGAAGTGTTTCCTTCAAATGCTACAACCACACAAGACAGTGAGAGGCAACATCCCAGAGGTACAGGAATGAGATGGCTGGTCACAAGCTCTCAGACATGTGCTCGCTGAAGCCATGTACGCCACCTGAGTTCTTGCTTCTCTTTGTCATACATTTCATGGAGGCCCATGCTCAGCTAACCCACAGGCATGAGATACCAAACCCCGCTGAGGGCTCAAACACACTGACTGGTACCCTCCCGTGCAGAGGACGGTCTGTCACCATTCCCACTTCACAGATGAGGAATCTCAGGGGCTCCGTCCACCCACGATCACAGCAAGGGCTGGTGAGGGAGAATGAGGTGGGGAGGCTGGTAGCCTCCCTGTGTCCCCATTACCACCACTACTGAGAGCTGAGTACAGCACACTGGTTTTTCCACAGTGCACACCCTTTGCTATCCTTGAGGGGACACCTCCAGGTGACAAAAGCTTCCAGAAGGTGAATAACCAGCTCAGCTCTGCCAGCTAGGGAAGCCTAGCATAGACTGCTTCCCACAGGGGGGTGAAAAGCCCCTCCTCTGCTTGCCCCAACCTGGGAGATCCTCAGGGGCTGGATTTCTTCACATTTTGGTTAATAAACCACAGAGGTGGGTTTTGTGTCCATAAAAGGTCAGAAATCCTTCCCTCTGGTCTGTCCAGCCACCAACCCCACCAACGGAGCAGACCATTCCATTGTACCTCACAATGCCTGGAGTCAGGTTTCGGGCTCTGGGCTCCTTCTACCATGTCAGGCTCCTTTCATCAGGCTCCAAAATCATTCACCAGTCCTCTTTCAAAACATTCATCCATGTCACTAGCCATAGGCACACACAAAAGACCCAGGTTAAGTAGGACAGACCCCATAAATAAAGTAGAAAATAGGAATTTTCCCTGTAGCCCACAGGCACACTAGCTGGATGCCCCTGCACATGTCCCATCATAAAGAGCAAGGCTGCTTTTTTAAATGCACCCCTCTTCTTTCAAGAAAGGACATCCCCAGAGGTGAACCTTCTAGATTTCTACTGGCTCAGGTGAAACAGAGGGCCTCAGCTCCACCATGTTCATGACCATGACCTCACCTAGTGGCAGCCCCACATCCACCACCCACCGGTGGCCAGGGTTGGGAAATCACTGCCCAGCTGCTAAGGAGCTGCAGTTCTGGGCTTGGGTATGACCACAAGACCTACTGGATCTTCTTCTCCGTGAGTTGCTCTAGGGCAGAGTGACAGTCATCCATCTCTTGCACAAACTCCAGGTTCCTCTTCTCGGCTTTCTCCAGGTCCTGCCTCGCCTTGTCTCGTTCCCTTGCCATCTGCTCCACTTGCCCCCTGCCACAGGAAGGAGACAGGTTCAGATGGGGACACCTGCGCTGGGCCCAGCAAGCCCTGTGTCTGCATGAATGATTAACTGGGCGCTGAGCATGGGCAGTGCTGTGCTCTGACCTCACTGCCACCACCAACCATCTCTTAGAAGTGGTTTCCAGAACTACTATGCCCTTTTTACAGATGCACATACTGAGAGAGAGGCTAAATGACCTGTCAAGGAAGGTTTCTAGAAAGTTTCTGAACCAAGGAAGTCTGAGCCTAGAGCCTTACGGTGTGCCACACCTCCAGATGGCCCAGAACAGGTGAGAATTTACCCATGCCCCCTTCTGTCTCCTCTCCTAGGGATCCCCAGCACCAAATCCGGGACTAGATACATGAAGGGGAGAAGGCTGACCACCCATCATCCTGCCTTGGTCACACCCCGACACCTGCAGCCTGACATCTAGGTGAGTCACCCAGAGCAGGCCCCACCTGCAGCTCTGCACTCACCCCTGGCACCTGCCACTCTGGTGACCGTTTCTCCCCCTGAAGGAGCATGGAGATTTTCTCCCTCTGCCCTCCCAAGGCACAGTCTTTCTGTGGTCCTATTTGCAGAGCTGCCTGAGGTCAGAAAGCTCACCTGTCAGCACCTAATGGGATGCAAAGTCTTGAGGAGAGAAATCATGATTTCTTTTCTGCAGCTTTGGAACATCAATAAACACAAAAATGATCTTTACACCAATCTGCTGTCCCGATGGCCTGAATACTCTGCTAATCGAAAGCTGAACCCAACTAAAATGGAACACATTCTCGGCCCCCATCACTTTGCTCTTGGTGACCATGCTGAGGAACACTTTGTTCTCTCCTGCCAGCCGCCCCAGCTCAGGAGCCCTCTGCCTGCTCTTGGAACACATCCCTGCCAACTGGAGGATTTCTGCCTCTGCACCCAAGAGCTCAAGTGTCAGCAGGATGAGTGTCAGGTTCAGATGCCCCCTTGGAACCTTCCTAAAAGGGGCTAAGGGAGGACCTTGACATCAGTTTCTAAGCTGCTCAAGGCCAGTGACCCTGAAATTTTGTGGCTGTAAAAGCCCAAGCAGCAAGCCCCCCTCACATCACACACGGGGATGTCACTCGAGGCACAGGGAGTGCTTAGCTCTTTCCTGTCCCCCCAAAAGTGCCCATTTCTAAAGGAGAGCCAGTGGGAAAGGTGGTGTCAAGCCCCCTGCCCCCTGGGACTGGCTTGGGATGGACAAGGGCAGGATGCCCATTTCCCAGGACTGCTCCCCACCCAGCAGCCTAGCCAGCTGTACCCACCTCCCCCACCACCCAACCACACTGGGCTCTTACTGGCGGAAGCTCAGCTCCTGGCGGTAGCAGGCCAAGGCCGCTTGCTGAGTGGCACCACCAACCGTCATGAGCTCGTTCTCAAGGGCCCAGGTCAGCTCCAAAAGGTTCACCTTCTCGTCCACACTGAAGTCGAGACTCTGGAAATAGCAAAGCCCGTTGGGCAGGAAAGGATGTGTGGCTTCTCCAAACACTTCCTGGCTTTCCTAAGAACAGGCGAGGCCCAGATCTGCACTGTCCCGTAGGCACCACCTGCCAACTTTTCTGTCTGTAAAGTCTCTGCCTCTGTCCCCACTCATCTTATGGATATGGATGTGACCCAGGCTGGACAGAGACCCTCTTCCTGAAAAGGTAACTGACACAGAAGGGCATGTCCCAAGCAGAGGATGTCAGGGGGATTGATAGGAGGCCGGGGGAGAGGCCTTTCTCCCTGTGAGATAATGTGCTGTATGGACCCTGCTGGCCCTGGAAGCTGCATGAGGAGACCTGGCCTGAGCTCAGTGCCACCAAGAAGCAAGCAGAGGAGAGATGGAAGAGAGCCCTGACAACACCCCTGGGATAACTTCTTCCAAGTTCCTGCCCAGGTGAGCCCCTAACTCTGCTTAAGCCATTTAGAGTTGAGTTTTTATCATCTCAAGCTAAGAGAATCTCTGAAATATGTGTACATGTGGGTAGAAAAATGATCTGACAGATGAGCCATGGCCCAGCACTCCATAGAGTGGAGCACTCTTTTCCCCTCAGGATTTTGAAAATAAGAGAATAAAACAATTTATATGTATTGCACCACGTAATAATAAACCATACCCGTATACCCCTCTGCTCAACTGACAATAACAACACTTGCTGCGTTTGCTTTTTTTGTGTTGTATTCTTGACCCCTGCTTCTTTCTATGACATCACAAAATCAGTTATGCCCCAGTCCAGAGGCAGGTACTGTGTCAGGGCCTATAGAGAAAGAGCCACAGCACTCCCAGATCACACATGGGAATGAGGCATGCTCCCTTTTTTAACTTATACAATGGAGACTTGATTTTCCACTACCCCCCCACCTCCCATAGCACTTCTGAAGAGAAATGACGTCAGGGTGAAGCGTATGGAGTAACTGGGAAGCTCAAGCTGTTATTCCTCAAGTACAGATGGCCCAGCAAATCATGTACCAGACAGAGGGCACAGCAGCAGCTTTCCGATCAAGAAGAAAGGAGTCATCAAAAACCACATGGCGTGGGTAGGAGCCAGCCTCCAAGACAGCCCCGTGCCCCTTGCCTCCTGGCATCCATACCCAGGTCCTCCCCTCCCACGTTGAGCGGAGCCAGCCCATGTGACCCACAGGGTACTGAGGTGACAGCGTAGGGCTTCCAAGGCTGGGGTGTGGAAGACACATGCCTCCTCCCCACTCTCTCTGAGATGGTGCTCCAGGGAAGCCACTGCCCAGTTTTGAGGAAGCTCAAGCAGCCCAAGGAAGGGGCCATGTGCAAGAAATGGAGGCCCTCCTACTATAGCAAGCATCAACCTGCCAGCTTGGACATGGCAGCTCAGCCCCAGTCAGGCCCTCACAAGGCCTCTGACCAACCTCAGGGGAGACCCTGGGCTAGAACCACCCACTACACAGTTCCTAAATTCCTGACCCACAGAAGCTGCTCCAGACGAGAACCATCACTGTGTGTTACAGCGTAATTCAATGGTGATTTGTTGAGGAGGGACAGATAACCAATCCTCGGCCTCCTCACAGAGCATTCTCAAGGGCCTGGATAAGAAGCGCCCTGAAATGGCCAGGGGTCTTGAGAAGCTGGGTACGTCCAGGCAGAGGGCTCACCCAGCTGGGTGCTTCCTTCTCAACAGAAAGGCCTTTCTTTTTTAGTCACAATGTGCTTGGTGCTCTTGGCAGGGCAGCAGCCTGTGGCCTGACCACCAATGTCACAGGTAAGCAGTTTCTAAGAGTGTCACGGGCAGGAAGGGGCCTGACTCAGCATGCCAGGACCACTTGCCCCACTTGCTGGTGCTCCTGCCC